AATTCTGGGAGTTGAAGTCCACTCATCTTAAAGTGGCCAACTTTGGACAACACTGCACTAGGACATCACAACATGTGAGTTCCAGACAGGGAATTATCCTGTCCAATTCACCTTGGACCTGACAGTTCACTACTCCCACCAGTTGGCCTCCCGCCCCCCATGCCCCCAAATCTAAGATTCTGAAAAAAAAAAAAGTTGAAGCAATGATGTGTTTATCTAGATGAACTTATGCAAAAAGACCCCAAAGAATCCAGCAACGATTTTACCTTCAGAAGAAGAAAGGGTGTGATCACATTGTAGGCCATATGGAAATAATCTCCGACGCTCGGCCTATTCAGGGGAAACCATTCCAGTGGGAGCACAATCTGCAGAGAGGAGACACGAAAAAGCAAGCAAGCCAAAGAGGGGGTGGGCGCCATTGCATCATTAGCGGTGGTCTTTCTGCTGCAGACTTTGGTCAAGCTTGGCTATAAAAGCCATCTTTGCCTGCTGATTTGTGTGTGTGTGTGTGTGAGAGAGAGTGATGGAGGGAAGGAGGGAGGGAATGTCAAAAGCCAAGAAAAATTAATTTGAGAGCAGTGCAAACATCCTGATCCCAAATCTTCCTTACAAAATGCATACAAGACAGGGAGGATGATTTGCAGATGAAAATCAGCACACACTGAAAGATAAAGGACCACCATCCCTACACTCATGTCCACCGGCATATTTACATACTTGTAGGACAGTATAACATGCAGTTCTGACCTCATCCCCAGTGCGTGTTCAGGGGCTTTGCTATTTATGTTCCTCGTCCAAGTGAACGAGAATGGCACCTGAGGATAAAAAGACCAGGCCTAAAGTGAATAGTTCTTGATCTACATCTAGGGTTTTCTTGGAAATAAGATGATTCTGGAAGCTTTGCAGGATGTTATCTTCGCTTTTCATTTTCTTTCAAGTTAAAACCTTTTAAAATGAGAATGGAGCAAGAAGCCATGCTGGAGGTCCAAGAGAAACAGCCTTTCCCCGAAGTGAAAGTGCCAGACTGAAGTGCCCTCCAACCATCTTGGACTCGGCAGAAAACTCTCCTGGCATGAAACTGGCTCCCCACACACCCAGCCCCTCCACTGCCTCCATCTTGCCTGGTCCTGGGCACTGCGGTCCCTTGTTTTCCCTCCTGGATAACAGAGGACAAAGGAAAGCGCTATTTTAGTAGCAAGACAGCTAAGTCAGTTTCAGTCCGTCTCACTGGTGAGCTGGAGATGAGATGAAGGCTGCCTCACGGAGATGGGAGGGACAAATAGTGCCCAGGTAGGTGTGTGCCATGGCCAGGTGCAAGGCACCTAGTGTCTGCAGGCAGAAGCTCACTTCCAGAGCAGCCCAATTGCAAATTATTGTTAAGGGATTTGTGGTCCTGTTCTCAGCTGCCGTTAGCTCCAGCAGGCAGGAGTCATGCAAGCTGGATTCAAGAATACAGACGTGGGAAGCGCTGCCCCAGAACATCCCAGAACTCCTGAGGGCAGAAGCTCACAGTGCCGCCCAAACACTGGCAGAGGAGCCACGCTTGCCCACTGGCTGGCAGGGCCCTAACGCCAGAACATCTGGGAAAGAATCCTCATTTTTCTGTCCCCCAGCATCTTCATCCGTGACTCCTCTACCTCACCTGGACCCCTAGCAACTACCAGTGAGCAACCAACCTCACCCCAGGGGTACTCACCATGGCGATGGGCCGGCCAAAGTCCAGGAGCCAGTTTTGCAGAGTGAAATAAAACCACAAGTCAAAATGGAAGCAGGAATTCCTGCAAACGTCGTCCTTGGGGGCTGCTCCATGCCTGTGAGCGAAAGCAGGATGGCAACTGATGTAAGGTCAGAACATGGGCCCACCCCTTGCGCAAAAGCTGCGTTTCTACCCCATCACCGTTCAAGGCAGCAGGGCAAAGCCAGCAGCCTCCACATCTGTTTGGACAAGACTTAATGGTTCTCTGTGAACTGGAACTTGGCACGGCTGGGTGCATCCGAGAATGCAGGTCACCAACATCTGGCTACCGCAGGCTCACCTCTCCTCAGGGGCGTCCGCAGGAGATGATAAAAAGAAGTCAGACGGCAGCTGTGGGAGCGTGACGGAAGCTCCACACGTTTTTGGGTGCGTTGCGCCAAAATGGCCATACTTGATGTTATTTTTACCATACCCTGTGGACACCCCTGCCTGACCCTAAGGCCCCACAAGGGTCTTGGGGAGCGCTCATTAAGTCAAGGCCCATCTTTGTCTCAAAAAGCGATTCAAGTATGTTTTAATACTGCGCCTACAGGTAGCTTCCTTCCTCCTAAGGCAGGGTTCCTCAACCTCAGCAACTTTAAAGATGGGTGGACTTCAACTCCCAGAATTCCCCAGCCAGCATAGCTGGCTGGGGAATTCTG